AGTGTACAAGAGGAGTCTGGATGTGGCACTTAGGGACATGGTTTAGGGGGTGACTGTGATGGTGCTGGGCTGATGGTTGGGCTGGATGATTTTGAAGGTCTCTTTCAACATTAATGATTCTGTGGTCAGAGCATTTATCCAAAAATCATGAATGAGTACTGGAGGCAGAGCGTGCATTTCTGCTCTTGGACAGATCTAGGAATGTGGCTGGAAGGAAAAGGAGTCTGGTTTTGCTGAAGCAGAGGCTTGGTGCCACTTGCTGTGTGTGCTAGGAATAGACAATGGATCTCCCACAGGACACCACAGCAGCACAGAATAACCCCAGGCTGGGGAGCCCTGCTGGAGAACAGCTCTGAGGAGAAGGACCTGGGGGTCCTGGGGGACAAGCAGCTGTCCCTGAGCCAGCAGTGAGCCCTGGGGGCCAAGAGGCCAGCGGGATCCTGGGGGGCAGGAGGAAGGGAGGGGATCCTGCCCCTCTGCCCTGCACCTGGAGTGCTGTGTCCAGTTCTAGAAAGAAAAGGAACCACTGGAGAGGCTCCAGTGAGGGTAACAAAGGTGATGAGGGGACTGATGGATCTCTCTGCTGAGGAAAGGCTGAGGGAGCTGGGGTAGTTCAGCCTGGAGAAGAGACCCCTGAGAGTGGATCTTAGCAATGTGCACAAACACCTCAAGGGTGGGTGTCAAGAGGGTGGACCAGACTGATTGCACAGCAACAGGACAAGGGGCAACAGGCACAAACTCACACAGGAGGATCCATCTGAACATGAGGAAAAACTTCTTGGAGGGTGCCAGAGCCCTGGAACAGCTGCCCAGAGAGGCTGTGGGGTCTCATTCCCTGGGGATGTTCCAAACCCAGCTGGGTGTGATCCTGTGCAACCTGCCCCAGGTGACCCTGCTTGAGCAGAGGGGATGGATCAGATGATCTCCAGAGGTCCTTTCCATGCCCAACCACTCTGGGATTCTGTGATTTATGATTCATAAGGAGGGCCCTGTCAGTGTCTGAATCTCCCACAGTTTTGCTCCAGGAGCTCACTGTTACTCAATTTAGTCCATGAACCTGACTCAGTGAAGCAGCAACCTATGAAAATGGGAAGATGCTCAAGAATTAAATTAACTGGATCACAAAGAGAGGGAAGTGACATTTGGGCTAATGGATGGAGACTACAATTAAACTGGGAATATCTAACATCTGAACTTCTCCCTGCATCAGTGCATCCAGACACGCCTCTGAACATGTGTAAACACATCTTGCTGTGTCTCTCCATTAGGCTGATAAACACCATTTGGGGACTGTGGTGGTCACTGGCTTAGCAAAAACCCTCTGAGTGTCACAGGGAGGGAAATGGAGCAGACACAGCTTGTTCCAACTCACAGCTCAGCGTTCTCTGGTGCGCAAAACTCCTTCCTCCCTACCCAGAGGAGACAACACACGTCAGAGAAAGCACATTCCTGACTAACTTGGCAGTGGGACAGCAGGGATCACAGAGTCCCTGTGGCTGGAGACACATCTGGGATCACCCAGTCCTTGCCCTCTCCTCAAAGCTGGGCCAGGCAGCACAGGTTGCCCAGCAACACGCTGGATGTCTCCAAGGATGAAGACTCCACCAACTCTCTGGGCAGCTTCCTCCAGTGTTGGACCATTCACACAGCAAAAATTACTTCTGTTTAAATGGCATTTCCTGTATTTCAAGTTGTCCCCATTGCCCTTGTCCTGTCACCAGACACCACTGAGAAGAGTCTGGTCTTCATTCTCTACCACCAGGTGTGATGATGGTGAAACCCCCAAGTCATCTCTTCTTGAGGCTGAACAATTCCCAGACAGGTCTGCTCCACTTCCAGCTGCAGAGGGCAGAGCCAAGCTGCCCCTCAGACCAGCTCCAGCTGTGGGATCCAGCTGTTCCTGCTTCCCAGGGTACAGACTGGCCATGAGGAACAAAGGGACACTTCCAAACTACCCCTTGGAGTGAGTGGAAGGCTTGGGAGAGGAAGGAGGTGCCTGGAGTCTGCAGGAAACTCCCTGTCTGTGCCACACCTGTATTACCCTGCCATCCTGTTCCAGGGTGACCACTTGTGTTGGACAACTTCATCAATCCATCCCCAAAGAGACAGCTGGGGAGTTGGACAACACAGAGGAACCAACATAAGGCCCAAGAGGTGATTCATCCCCCCTGGAGAGACCCAGGAGGTGCTGCTGAAGCTCTGAGGTGGTGGCATCAAACAGGGTGATCTGGTTGGACCTGCACAGGTCCTGTTCCTATCAGAGGTTGTGCTGCTGCAGCTCTTGGGCACCTCTCACACACATCTGAAAACCCCAAGTGATAAAACAGACTTTAAATAAGTGTTCAGCCCAACTGCCAAGTCTCATCCCACTGGAATGTGCCTCCTGTGCGATGTCCTCAGGTTTCTGCACTTCAGCTGGAGATGCTGCTTGTTGAGGTGCCAGAGCCTTTCTCTGCCCACCCACTGCTGGGAGAAATGCCCATGTGAACCCACAGGATGGGAAATGCTTCTCATCCAACTAACTTCTCATCTAACTCCACCTCACATCTTGGAAAACAAGGCAAGTTTGATTGCTCAGGGCAGAAGGAATAGAGAGCAATTGAAAACTCCTGAGAAGGAAATCTGGTTTCTGACTGAATGACCCCCAGAGAATCCCACAGCTGGGGACAGACCCCACAGTTCTCCCAAACTTTTCAAGGAGAATATAAAAACTGACCAAATTTTCCTTCAAACCTGAGAGAAACATCAAGGTGGGAGGAACAAGCTACTAAGACGTGCATTTGTTCCCACCTGCATTTTTTTCTGAAGCTCTTTGTGGATTCTCAGAGTTCCAAAGCACTGGGATTGCATATTGGACTAAACCTGCTCTTTGTCTCCATCCCTTTCTCATGGACATGGACACTTTGAACTGTTGTTAACAGTGGTTCAGGTGTGACACCATCAGAGACCAAACAGACTCATGGCCCATGCAGAGCACAATAAAGTTGTCCAAGAGATTTCTGGCACATCTTGTCTTAGGCAGAAAACGTCAGTTTGTCAAAGCTGAGACCTACAAGCCAAAGACTGGCTTCTGAAACAGAATCACACAATGGTTTGGGCTGGAAGGGACCTGAAAGCTCATCCTATCCCAACCCCCTGCCATGGGCAGGGACACCTTTTGCTACACCAGGTTACCAGGAAAAAAACTCCTTTTTTCCTGTTCCTTTTTTCTTTTCTTGGAGATATTTTGGAACAGTCAAAGACTCTGTATTGATACTTGAAGCATGAGAAACAAAATCGTGCTGTTCCCACCTCAAAAAAAACCCAACCAAAAAACTCAACAACTCTTTTTGCTAAAAGTGTTAGTCAATGAGGGAAAAAAATAAAAATTAAAAAAATGAAAATTAAAAAGCACCAAAACACAAGAAACCCTGAGTGGTGCAGAAGAAGGAAACTGGTCATGTAAGAGCTGTGATTCCTGGAGACGTTTTGTGACTTGACTCCCACTCAGGGGAGTGGGGATGTCAGCAGCACCTTCCCCAGGTTCCCTTAGCCTGGTGGTAGATCCATGACTGCTGCTGGTCTGAATAAAGACTTGAAAACTGCTCTCACAGCTTCAGGGTCCACCTTTCTTGCTGTTTCTGTCTTGCAGGGATGAATCAACATAACAACCAGGTATGGAACTGCAGCTCCACAGCCCTGGGATCAGCTCTGCTGGGACACATGTTGGGACTTGTAATTTCTGCAGTTCTTCTGGTTTAATCATAGAATCATAAAATCGTTTGGGTTGAAAGGACCTTAAAGCCCATCCTGCCATGGGAAGGGACATCTCCCACCATCCCAGCCTGCTCCAAGCCCTGTCCAACCTAGCCTTGGACACTTCCAGGGATCCAGGGGCAGCCACAGCTTCTCTGGGCAACCTGTGCCAGGGCCTGCCCACCCTCACAGCCAAGAATTTCTTCCAATTTAACCTTCAGCATCTTACTGATTGCTCTGACCACCAGAGAAGGTGGGAAGAGATGAAATAAAAACCCTTCAGGCCCTCAGTGCTCATCTGTTAGCACTGAAACAGCACAAGGAGGTTGACACTGATCCTCCACAGCATCACACCATCAGTGTAGAAAAGAACCCTTCACTTTGCATTACTGAATGGAATAAGGCTCAAAAAATGCATATTTCCTTGTTCCCCACCTCAAAGCAGATGCCACTATTGCAGCCCTCTGTATGAAAAGCTCTCAGAAGCTCAGCATTGTTTACCTTAGAGGGAGCTTGCAAAACAAAAATCCAAAAAAAACCCCACAAAAATTAAGATCAAAATATCAAGGGCATTTAATTTCAATGGAAAATCACGCCTGCAGGCTCAGATGAGGGCTCAAAGCTTTGTCTTAATCTAATTTTATGCAGACAATTCAGTGATAATAGGAGTTTATATAATCCACATCAAGGAAATCAGAGGGGTTCCCAGGACTTGTAATGAGAGCTGACATCACTGACTGCACATTGCAAACCCAGGCACTCACTAAATAATTGTGGCTCCAGAGAGCACTTGACAGAGACAGAGCTCCCTCCACACCCTCCCAGGCTCCAAAGCATTTTGCTGAGCTGTGATAAGGGCCTCAAACATTCCTCTGGTTTGGGGTGCACCAAGGAACCAGCCCCACTGCAGAGAGGCTTCAGTCAGTGGGTCCTCAGCTCACTAAAATACAGGGTGGATTTTGAGCAGTGGGCAGAGAACGAGTCCAGCTCTGAAGGACAGAGCTCTTCATTGATTCATGAAGCAAATCAAGGCACGGGGAAATGCAGCACAACCTCACCACAACTGCACACCCCAGAGGGGAAAACCAGACTGCCAGTGCCTGGGGAAAGCAGTGGATTGCAGCAGGACACAGGGAGAAGGGGCTGCTTTGGGCACACAGGGGACACCTGGGCTCATCTCCCCGAGCCAGGAAGGATGAGCCCTCACAGAGGGGTCAGCATGGGACAGCCTGGCAGAAGGGCAGGGCTGGCCAACAGCCCCCTACCTGAAGGATGACCCAGTGCCCCTCCTTTGCAGCCAGATCCAGAGCTTGTTCAGCAACCACCTCTTGGCCTTGTCCAAGGGACACATTGTGGAGGTTCCTGTTGTTGAATGTAAAGCCAAGTTTCTTCCCTGAAAGAAAGCAAGGAGTGAGTTGAGCACCGTTGCCTGGCAGGGCTGGGCAGAGCTCCCTGGCCCCAAAACCCTCCCCAAAACCCTCACACTCCTGAGAACAGTTCTCTTGTCTCATTCTCTTGGCTCTCACCCACTCCTTGCCCAAGTGCTCAAACAGCAGCAGCTTCTTCCAAACTCTTAATTACAGCACAGCATCAACACAAAGGTGTCTTGTTAGAAAGTGCTTCTTGTTTAAAGAACATTATTCCCCTGCAACCTCGAGTAAAACCACTTTTTACAGTGATAAGAAGTGAACATCTTTTCCTGCTGATGAAATGGGCTTTGAACACCCCCAGCTGAGAGGGGAAAGGCCCCTGGGATGTGGATTGGGTGCAGCAGGGAGAGAAGGCAGGTGCATGAAATCTGTGTGAGCTTCCTCTGGCTTCAGGAAAGGCCTTCCAGGTGTCTTGGATGTGGAGAGCATTTCCCCATGGAACATCCTGGGCAGTGTGGAGTTGCCTTTGTGTGTGTGGGAAGGCCCAGGGTCAGTGGAGCAGCAAAGCCCATGGGAGCAGGAGGTCCAGGAGCCACTCAGACCGTGTCCCACTGCCCCTCCTCATCCCTCTGCATGTGCAGGCTGGGAACCCCCAAACCCATGTCATGGACTACCCTGCCCTGGAGGGAGGATTTAGTTATTTAGTGTTTCTTCCTTTAGACTGTGATGATTCTTCAGACTCCCCTGATTTCTCTGTAGCATCCCAGTGCCTGAGATCCTTTCAGTGATCCTGGCTGAAGATCAGGTTAGTTCTGAATCTGTCTGTCAGTCAGAGATGGAGGATGCCACTTGCTGTCCATCTCACAGGAAAAGCAACTGCCTGGAACCAGCTCTCTTTGCTCTCTACTCAGGAACTGGGTGTTTCCAAGAAGACAAGTCCAAATTGTGCTGCCAGGGGGAAGCAGCCTCACAAACATCCCCATAAACATCCCACACCATCACAGGATGGATTTGGCTCAGCCAGGCAGTCAGTTCATGTGTCCCCATGTGCTGATCCCTTGGGATTGCCTCCACTTATCTCTGCATGCAGGTTTGCCTTCCTGCAGACAGGGCACCCTCCAGTCCTGATTTCTGCTCAAAGCAGGAATGTTTTATAGCAACAGAAGGAAAAGATTTGTCCTGCAAGACTTAGGAACGATCTCGTGGTACAAGACTGGAAACAGATGGGAAACAACTATCCAAACTCAAGCTCTCTGCTGAGCCTTCCCACAGCCCCGTGGGACACAGCTCTCCACAGTTTTAGAGTTCCCACTTCTCTTTCCCACCACCTCTGACTTCTGCCAACTTTGAAAGGCTCCAATCTCCCCCTGTGCCTTCAAGACCCAGTCACTCAAGAGGGAATGGGGCAAATCACAGAAGGCAGGGCACTCCCCCAAACTTGGGGATTAATAATAAGAAATATCAGTTGTTATTTCCACTTCCCAGATGGGAACAGGACTGAGAGGGATAACAAAGGGTCTGTGCTGGCTGCAGAGGAGGGGACAGGCACCCAGGATGTGGGGAAGCTTTTGTTTGTTCCAGGGCCCTCCCCATGTTGTCAAGGAAAGGTGCCATGAGAAGCAGCACGTGGAAGAAGCCAACTTCCATTCCCAAGGATTATCTGGCCAGACCTGCACTTAAAAAACCTTAATGAAGGACAGAGGAAATACCAAGAATCACCCCAGCCCACCTCAGCTGGGCACTGAGCTGCCAGTGCAGCTGCTCTGGAGCAATGATGTTATTTCACTACATTTACTTTTTTTTTTCACTTTTTCTTGCTGTAGCTGCTCTAGCTGACTAACCCCAGGTGCTCAGCTATACTCAGCTTCACAATTCCAATTAAGCCACTTGTGGTTGGATTTTGGTGCTTTCTTTCCCAAACAAGAAAAGACCACAGTGAGAGACAGGATCACCAATCTGACCCAGGGAAAGGGAAGGGAATCCAGGACCACAACAGGAACTTCTTTGGGTGGGTCCCTTTCATTCCCAATAATGACACCTGGTTTGGGGGGCACAAAGAGCCTGAAACACAAAGCAAAGCCCAGGAACTCCCCATGACCTAAGCTGCCTGTGGCTGAAGCTGCACCAGGCTTTAAAAGCTCTGACAGCTGCTCGTGGCCATGTGGGTAAAGACTGACTCAAACATTCTTTTGGGATGACCCAGAAGGTGCATCATAGAGAGGGGAAAGAACCCACAGGTCAGCATTCCCACACCAGTCCCCTGGGTGATGGCTGTGTTCAGAGGGACTGGTCCCTGACAGGGCTGCCAGCCTTGATGGTGTTTAGTCCTGAGACCAAGCCATTAAACACCAGCCAGCAGCTCTGCTATGGCTGGGCTGTGATTGCAGATCTGTGGAGCACATTGCTGGGCAAGGAGAACAGACCCAGTGAGCACAATGGCAATGGGGGCAACCAAAGGCATCCATCCCCTCTGCTCCAGAGGGATGGTCAGGCTGAAAACTGTGGTTTTTCCAGAGGGGAGCTGAGACCCAGAATAAATTCTCCCCATTGTGAACTTCAGAGCACAGGCAGTGGCTGCAGCTGCAGGGGCACAGGGGGGTCACTGCCTTCTCCAGGAACTCGTCCCACTCTGCTCTGCCCTGGGGAGGCTTCACCTCAATATTGGGGCAGTTTGAGGGGACACAATGGAAGGGAGAGATTGAGCCATTGGAGAGTGTCCAAAGGAGGCAACAAAGATGGGGAAGGGCCTGGATTTGAAGGCGTGTGAGGACACTGAGGGCACTTGGTGTGTTCAGCTGGGGAAGAGGAGACTGAGGGGAGACCTCCCTGCAGTTCCAACTGCCTGGGCAGGGGCAGAGGAGGGGCAGGACTGAGCTCTGCTCTGGGGGGAGCAGGGACAGCCCCCAGGGAATGGCTGGAGCTGTGTCAGGGCAGGTTCAGGGTGGATCTTCCCCCAGAGGCTGGTTGGGCACTGAACAGGCTCCCCAGGGCAGTGGGCACAGCCCCAAGGCTGCCAGAGCTGCAGGAGGGTTTGGATGATCCTCTGGGGCACAGAGGGTGACTCTTGGGGATGGGCCTGTGCAGGGCTGAGGGTTGGACTGGATGATCCTTGGGGGTCCCTTCCAGCTCAGCATATTCTGGGATTCTGTGATTCTCTGAACAGTTTGGGTTAGAAGGGACTCTAAAGACCATCTTATTCAATGTTCTGCCATGAGCAGAGACACCTTCCACGGTCCCAGGTTGCTCAAAGCCCCCTCCAACCAGGCTTCAAACATTTCCAGGGATGGGGCAGACACAGCTTCTCTGGGCAACCTGTGCCAGGGCCTGCCCACCCTCAGGAAGATGCTCATTCACCAAACTCCTTGACAGGAAACTGTACTGCAGAACTCACATTCGACAATAAACAAATCTAAGCATATTCCTGAATTACTTTTTTTTCCCCTAGAAAACACAAATCCTTTTGGCTTTGGAGGCAGCTGACAGCTCCACATCTGACCACGTTGAAACCAACTCAGAAAGGATGGGGATAAAAACTGGAGACTCTGCCACTAAGCACAGTCTGTTACAGGGAGCTGCTGCTTATTTTCAGTTCTCATAAAAGCATAGAATAGCAGGTTGGAGGGGACCTCAAGGGTCCTCTGGTTCAACTTTTCTTGGCAACAAGCAGCTCTCTGACAGCGTGTTTGATACCTCTGACGTAAATCATGGGCTGTGCACAAACTCAGCCCGGAGGTCGGTGCAGCGTGAAACACACGGGGAATCCAGGGAGGAGACAACTTCAACTTAAACTTTAGATGAAAATCCAAAAAAAAACTTTAAGGAAAAAAAAATAAAATCAAAACAAAAGCCCCAAACCAATCCTCTCACAATTATCTATTTTTAACAGATTACTTCATTATCTACAAAGAGATCAGGAAAAAAAAGCCAAAACAAAACAGGAGTGTCATGCTAAGATGCAGCAGATAAAAAGCAATGCTGTGCTATGCCTAGAGACAGGATTTGTTTACCATGTTTCTCCACATCCTTCAGTGGGTCCACTCCTGGGGAAAGGATAAAAAACATTGGGGTTGCAGGTCCTGATTCCTCAAAGGTTGTTGCAAAATCCAGGGATCTCCCAGTCACATATTTACTGCCCAGCTTTTCTTCTACAAAATCTCTGCCAGAGAGAAAAAAGTTATGCCATCTACTGTTGTTCAGAAAAGGCAGATTCCACTGGAAATAACCAGTTAATTATCACAGAATCACAGACTCACTAAGGTTTGAAAAGGCTTCCAAGATTATCATCACCCCAGCACCACCCCCGTGTTCAGCAAGTGTCCTCAAGTGTCCTATCCATAGGTTTTTTTGAACACTTCCAGGGGTGGTGACTCCACCACAGCCTGTGCTTGATGACCCTTTAATTCCCAATATCCAACCTAAACCTCCCCCGGTGCAATTTGAGCCCATTGTCTTTGGTCCCATCACTTATTCCCCAGGAGCAGAGCCCGATTCCCCCCCACCCCCGGCTCCCCCCTCCTGTCAGGGAGTTCCAGAGCCAGAAGGTCCCCCCTTGAGCCTCCTTTTCTCCAGGCTGAGCCCCCCCAAGTCCCTGAACTGCTCCTCATCAGACTTGTGCTCCTCTTCTCTGTGATTTTGCTGATTCAAACAAATTAGAAACTAAATTAGGAAAAAATGAAATAATTGTAGAGGGGACCTGCAGGCTCATCCAGTGTTATCCCTCAGGAGCAATGCCTGGCACTGTGTACAGGGTGGAATGACATCTGGCACCCCAGTTCCTGACAAAGGAAGGGAGGTGAGAAGGGAGAACAGTGGGAGCTGCCAGCCCAGGGCTGCACTGAGAAGTGCAGTACAAGCACTGGATGATTCTCACTCGGGTATCTCAAGAGAGAAGAAATAAGGTGCAGGAATCTGCCAAGAGCAGCCTTCCAGAGCATCACCAAGTCACAAAAAGTCCAGATGATTCACAAAATTACTTTGATCTGGAAAGCTAAAAGACAAGAGCTCCAAGAATACCTGGTGTGTGCAGGCTTGGCATGAGAGTCACAAGGAAAAACACAAGGGAGTGAACAGGAAAAGGTTCAGCTCCACAGCAGCTGCCTGAACAGAAAACAATGTATGGAGAACATTCCCCCAGGGTGAGCTTCCCACATCACTGCTTCAGCAAAAGAGGATACACTGAACATTCATTCAAAGGTAGGAATGTTGCATTCAAACCCCAGGAATGCTGCTGGAGCGTAGATACAGGAGTCAGGCTTTTTGAAGGCAGACAAATTCCTTCTGAGAGAGCTGAGAGCCTCCTTCAAGGACTGGTGAAATGTAGCTGGAATAGAGATGCCTAAGGGATTGCAAAAGAAAAAGCTTCCACCTTTTTTGGTATCTCTTTCAAGTGGATTTTTCTGTTCTGGGTAAAGATTTGCTAAATTGCTGCTGGAAAGCTCCAGTTAAATAAAAAATTTACCAAAGTCCATTGGATCTGAGGTCACAACATTCTTGTTTTACATCTCTATGAAATGATGCCTTGGGGACTGGAAAATGCAACTAATGTTGAGTGGGAGGCTTTAAAGTGGGACCACATGTGCAGGAGAGGGGGGGCTGCCCTCACAGATCTCAGAATGTGCTGAGCTGGAAGGGACCCCCAAGGATCATCCAGTCCAACCCTCAGCCCTGCACAGGCCCAGCCCCAAGAGTCACCCCCTGTGCCCCAGAGGATCATCCAAACCCTCCTGCAGCTCTGGCAGCCTTGGGGCTGTGCCCACTGCCCTGGGGAGCCTGTTCAGTGCCCAACCAGCCTGTGGGGGAAGAACCTTTTGCTGAGATCCATCCTGAACCTGCCCTGACACAGCTCCAGCCATTCCCTGGGGGCTGTCCCTGCTCCCCCCAGAGCAGAGCTCAGTCCTGCCCCTCCTCTGCCCCTGCCCAGGCAGTTGGAACTGCAGGGAGGTCTCCCCTCAGTCTCCTCTTCTCCAGCTGAACACACCAAGTGCCCTCAGTGTCCTCACACGCCTTCAAATCCAGGCCCTTCCCCATCCTTGTTCCCTCCTTTGGTCACACTCCAATGGCTCAATCTCTTTCCAATGGCTCAATCTCTTCCCTCAGACAAGGCTGGAGCAGTCCCCACATGTGGTGCCTTCAAGCAATGAATGTATCTACAGGCCCTGGGTCACTGTATCAGCAACAGGATTTGAGAAACGGTGCCAGCACTAAAAGCAAATATCCCCAGGCAAAGGCTGGCAGCTGTTCCATGGTACACAAAGCTCCAGCTGCCCACCATCCCATATCTCAGGGGTCCATATCAGTGTCTTAACCACGGCTGGAGGCACCACCTACCAGAGCTCTTAGACTTGCTGCTGTTCCCAAGGCCTGTCCCTGCTAGGGCAGAAGTACCAGTGCCTTTGAAAGGACTGAAAGATAACCAAGTCACACCTTGCCAGTGACTGCTGGACTGGTCTGACCCCATCATGGATGTGGAAGAGAGGGAGCACAGGGTCTTGTGAGAGGCTTTTTGCTCATGTTCCTCACTAAGATTGGAGAATGAAATAGGGATTCCCAGTGGAAAATCCTTCTTGAGGAAATGATGGTTCTTGGTGCAGTGCTGGTAGCGAAGCTCTAAGGAGTGAATAGGGGTAAGAGTGGTTTCTCCTGATGACTCCTTAGGCCCAGGGAAGGAAACAGGCTCTGCAAATATTCCAGGAATCTGCCATGAAAAGAGGCTGAAAAACCCAACTTCCCAGGCAGAGAAATATAAAAAGCCTGTACAGTGGTGGATCATTTTAAATCCCAAAGAACTTCCTACACCATCGCCATGGATCTGGCACATATGACATGGGACTTAGAGGGTCTTAAACCTTTCTGAACAGCAGCTGAAAATGAGTTAGGACACCTAAAATATCTCTGTCCACCTGTGTTTAGGTTACCAAGTTACTCCTTGAACCCTGAAATGCACTCAAATACTTGTCAAGACCCCCAGAGAGACAGGAAGGTTTGGATTGTTCATGATGTCCATTGACCACCAGTGAGGCATTGAATGCTGGCAGATTGATATATTGATATGCTGACTGATATAATTGATTCACAGAAAGAAGAGACCTGCCAGTTGAGAACTGCAGGACACCCTCTGGGATCCAATGGCATTGCAGGTTTTGTAAACTCAATGAATTAAATAACAAACACAGTCTTGAACCACCACTGGCTGCAGGAGGGATGTGGAGGGTGAAGGCCCCGTGGTCTGGGCATCAGTTCCCCAGTTCTCTGCTTCCTGAAGGGTCACAGACACAACACAAGGGCAGTGGGCACAGCCCCAAGGCTGCCAGAGCTGCAGGAGGGTTTGGATGATCCTCTGGGGCACAGGGGGTGACTCTTGGGGCTGGGTCTGAGCAGGGCTGAGGGTTGGGCTGGATGATCCTTGGGGGTCCCTTCCAGCTCAGCACATTCTGGGATTCTGTGAACTTTGACAGGAAAACCCCCAGGTGAGCCCTGCCTGCAGTGTGGGGGTTCCTGGCAATGCTGCTTGTGTTACATTCAATCCAAAGAGAGTTTTTCCTGCTGACACCTGGGCACTGGACTGGCAGGAGAAGGACACATGCACAGATTTTGTATTTTCCTGAGAGCTGCATCTCAGGAACAGCAAATTTCTTCCCTAAAGACAGAGGATCCATCCAGGCCAGGCTGTGGGCTGAAGGCAGGTCTGAGGAGCATCACCCTGTCAAGGAGGGCCCAGCAAGAGAAATACATTTTGACTGTCTTTGTCTTTGCTTTTGGGGTATGACATTTCTCTTCTCCAGCCTTTTGGGCCTTGTGTCTAACTGTCCTGTATTTCAAGAAGAATTTTAGTCCCATCTCCCAAGTCTTGGGGAAGGTGCTGTGAATTGTTACTGTTTGCACATGTTTGTGTTCTCACCTACTTCTAGATAAGAAACAAAACATAAAACTCATCTAAATACTCGTTTTAGATGGAGAAAAGCTTGACGTGCCCAGATCCTAAAAATATCCAAGCTTTTGAACTTGGATTCCCTTTTCATAAAAGAGAGATATGAAAGGGGCTGAAATCTGATGTTCCAGTTATTTCTGAGCTGTGTGAGTAAGAAGGAAATAAATTAAACTTGCTTAATTAAATATGCACTTAAAATTTCAGAAAAACATGAGCTTATTTTACTGAAGCTAAACAACAACAAGAAAACCAATGTTTTCAGCTGAGAGACACATGGAGAATCCAGCCATAAGAGTAAGAAATGAAAAAGATAGTTTAGATTATTATGATAAATTATAGTATTTATTCTAGGAAAACATAATAACATTTACCACAGGGAGACTTCACTCAGTCTTGTCTGCATTTTCCTGTGAACTCTATAAAGCACAACCAGATCTAGTTCCTACACTGGGTAATAACCCTGCTACACTCCCATGCCATGTGGTGCAGTAAAATATTTGAGAGGCAGGAGCATGAGAGACATCAGAGAAATGTCAAAACACTGACTGCCAGGACAGAGGAGGAAAAAACAACTCCTAATGGAGTGAAAGACCTTTAGTTTCTCCTGGAACAAGTGTGTTGCTTTTGCATAACTTGGGGAAGTTTAGCCTTGCCTAGTTACCTCCACTGCATAATTTACAGCTACAAGTTTCAGAACCAGCAGCACATAAATTTTGCAATTTACAGGGGAAAAAAAAAAGACATAGGAAACCTCTCTAAGACTTTCCTTTACTTCTACACTTTATTCTGGAGTCTAAGAAACAGCCAAAAAGGAACTAAAATCGATGTTACTGAAGTTTAGATCATGTGTTGATCACCCAAAGACTCCAGCAAGGTGATGCTCATTTCTGTCTTGGCCTCTCTGCTCCTCACCCAGTGCCAGTGACACTGCTCCATCCTACTGCTGATGTGGAGGTGAGATCCCCCTAAGCAAGAAATTCTAAATAAATGAAATGGTTGTTGATTGTCTTGCAGAGTTCAGAGATCATGGAATCACAGAACAACTCTGAGTGTCCAAAGGAGGGAAGGAGGATGGGGAAGGGCCTGGATTTGAAGGCGTGTGAGGACACTGAGGGCACTTGGTGTGTTCAGCTGGAGAAGAGGAGACTGAGGGGAGACCTCCCTGCAGTTCCAACTGCCTGGGCAGGGGCAGAGGAGGGGCAGGACTGAGCTCTGCTCTGGGGGGAGCAGGGACAGCCCCCAGGGAATGGCTGGAGCTGTGTCAGGGCAGGCTCAGGGTGGATCTCAGCAAAAGGTTCTTCCCCCACAGGCTGGTTGGGCACTGAACAGGCTCCCCAGGGCAGTGGGCACAGCCCCAAGGCTGCCAGAGCTGCAGGAGGGTTTGGATGATCCTCTGGGGCACAGGGGGTGACTCTTGGGGCTGGGCCTGTGCAGGGCTGAGGGTTGGACTGGATGATCCTTGGGGGTCCCTTCCAGTTCAGCACATTCCGTGATTTTGGGATTCTGTGAACAGTTTAGGTTGGAAGGAACCTAAAAGCTCATCTCATTCAACCCCCTGCCACGGGCAGGGACACCTTTCACCAGCCCAGGTTGCTCCAAGCCCCATCCAATCTGGCCTTGGACACTCCCAGGGCTGGGGCAGCCACAGCTTCTCTGGGCAACCTGTGCCAGGGCCTCACTGCCCTCAGGAAGGAGATGCTCATTCCCCAGACTCCTTGACAGGAATCACATTGCAGAATCAACAATATTACAGAACTCACATTCTACAATAAACAAATCTGAACATATTCCCAAATTACTTGTGTTCCCCAGGAAGCAGCAATCCCGATTTCCCCCTGCCAGGAGGAGCCCCGGGGGCAGGGCTGTCCCACCTGAGGGCGCAGGTGACGCGGTCGGGCCGCAGGGCCCTGAGGATGCACAGGCGCTGCAGAGATGACTTGTTCTTCCACTCCTGGGGGAACTTCTCCCTCTCAGGACACTCAGACTCGATGAATTTCCTCCACCTTTTCGCAGACCCTTCGATATCCCGATCCAGGTTTCTGAATTCCTCCATGGATGAGAGAGCCTGGAAGAAACCAAGGGAGGTCAAGAAGAATAATACTACTTGCCTCTGAATCATTTTTCTAACATTAAGGACTGCTCATGTTTTGCTCCACTGGAAAGGTCAGAGCTGGACTCTTGGAAGCACAACCAGAAACCCACCAGGACCTCAGAATCACAGAATATGCTGAGTGGGAAGGAACCCACAAGGAGCTTCAAGCACAACTCTTAGCCCTTCACAGGACTATCCCCAGGAGTCTGTGCCTGAGACCAGACTTTGTCCATTCTCCTTCTCCCAACTCTGTGGTCAGCACATGATCACAGCACCAGGAATAAACACAGCCCATTTGCAAGGCCACAGGGCAAGGAGGACTGAGGGCTTTCTCATTCTTGTAGAAGGCCTTCTGTCCAGGCTGCCCTCAGAACATCAGCTCTAGAGTCATGCAGCACCTAACACAGCCTTGTCTGTGCCCTCACCCACATCTCTGCAGTGCCCCTCCCATGCCAGGGCAGCCACACACATTATCCAGGGAAAATGCCTGGAACCAGAGACATGGGTGCTTGGAAAGGACAGCACAGGGAAGGAGGACACATTTTCGCATCAACCACCACCTAGTCCTCCATTTCCCAAAGAGTAAATAAAGCTCCTCTTCTGTTTGGAAACCAGATCTGAAGAATCTCAGCTGATAAGCACTTCTGAGTGCCTGTTATCCCAGAAATCCCTGATTTGGATGGGAGCTGGAAATTTAGAGCCTGTGTCTGACAGGAGAGCACATTGCTGACGTTCCTGTGAGCTGCACATCCACAGTCTCCTCATTGCTTCCACAGAAACAAGGACAACTGAGCAGCAAAATCCACAAGAGCTGATGGAAAAATGTGCTTTGGTATCCAGGGTGCTCAGAATCCAAAGCTAAACAGACTCAAACATGCCAAGCTCACCAAAACCGTTTCTTTAAAGGATTTCACAGTTGGAATAATAATTATCTTGATAGAATCACAGGATGGTTTGGGTTGGAAGTGACCTTAAAGACCCTCCCACTCCAACCCCGTGCCATGGGTTGGGTCATCTCTATCCAGCTGTTTTTCTCTCCCTGTCCCCCATGCACATCCCTCTCTCTCTGCACAGTCTGGTGCACACAGGCTGTGAAACCAAGGCACTGAGCCTTCCCCACACAGCCCTGCTGACCAGGAATCCCAACAAATACAGTGAAACCAAATCCTCAGGTTTATATTTGCCAAACTCACACAACAATTAACTTACTCAGTGCTACAAGTCTGCAGCAGAAACAGGCAGCTGAAGAATGCCCCCAAAAACCAGCTGAGCAAGGCAGTCAATAAATTATAATGACAATGAAAATTAGTTAATTAGATTTTGTAGTCAGAAAGTGACAACTATGAATGTTAAGCAGAGAAGTAAAGCATCCAAATTCTCCCTCATACAAGTGGTGGCAGAACACATTGCACAGCTCAGAAGGCTCTTCCGGATTTCAAGTAAAATTCTCACTGAAACAAACATCTTCAGAGTGTTTTGCATAATCTGAAGCTGTGAGTGGTTGAACATGAAGCGGAAAAGACAAGTGAAGGATAAAAGACAGTGACTGAGCTGTTTTCTACAGGAACAGAAGGGCACGGTCAGAGAGAAGCAGAAGCTTCTCGATGGGCAGAGGTGTCCCACACCCCCAGTGCTCCAGCTCACAGCCCATACAGCCTCAGGTGAGAGCTCCTGGAAAAATGCTGGTGTCACACCCTGCTCAGATCAACTGAACACCCACAGCCTTGCACAGGGCTCTGAAAGGCACCCAAGGGCCCTGGCAGAGGTGTGAGAGATGGCCTTGGATACACTGCTCTTGCAAAGCAGGCAGAATACACTGAAGGCCACCCTGCTTTAAAAAAACCCTGCTTTTCCTCTGGAAAGGGCTTCCCAATGAGAAGACAAAAACACTGTGAAATGTGGTCTTTCTAACAGACTGAATTTAGTCACAGAGAGTGCAGAGAGAGAAGGAAGAAGTCAGAAAAAGGGGCTTCTGATAACAAAGGAGTTCATGTTTTTAGCAGTGGAAATGATAGAATCACAAAATGGTTTGGGTTGGAAGGGACCTTAAAGATCATCTTGTTCCAATCCCCTGCCAGAGACACCTTCTACTATCCCAGGCTGCTCCAAGCCCCATCCAACCTGGCCTTGGACACTTCCAGGGATGGGGCAGCCACAGCTTCTCTGGGCAACCTGTGCCAGGTAGAATGTCTGTAGACACAGAGGTTGCAGAACTGTTCCCAGTGGGTGCCACAGCCCAGGACATTTGCTGTATTTGCACTCACAGCACCACCAGCAGCGGTTGGAAGAAATCTCAGGAGGCGTCCAGGCCACGTTTGTGCTCAGGCTGGGCCAGCCATGGCTTTGTCTACGAGAATGCTGCCCTCCAAGGTGAAGCTGTGTCAGTCCCTCTGGGTGCTCTGCTCTAGACCTGCACTGTCCTTACAGTGAAGAAGAGAACTTATCTTTTCACACGTTCGAGCAGAACCTTCCAACCTGCAGTTTGTGGTGGCTGACACAACTTTCACCATTAAACCACACCCTCAAGTGCCACATCCACTTCCAGGGATGGTGACTCCACCACCTCCCTGGGCAGCCTGTTCCAGGGCTTGATAACCCTCTAGTTGATTTTTTTCCCCTTAATATCCAATCTAAACCTCCCCTGGTGAAACTCTTGTCCTGTCACTTGTTACCTGGGAGAAGAGACTGACCCCCACCAGGCTACAAGCATTATTACATTATTACATTATTACACGGAGAGTTTGGCTCTGTCCTCTCACAGTTGGACAAACCTCCCCACCTTTCCTCACTCCTGAGCTCCAGGGCCAGAATCAAGAGCTCTGGGCAGAGAAGAACTTGTGGGTACCACTAAAAATACTTCTGCAACAAATCAAGCCTTGTCCAAAGGCACCATTCCATCAGTAGCTCCACCAAAGGTACAGAGTGTTTGCAGTGCCACAGCTCACACTGACTCAGCCTGGCACTGCCCATTCCCATGCCAAGCTCCCAGACAACTGGAGAGTGTCGTGAGGAAGAGTGTGGGAAGAGCAGTGATTCAACAGCTGTTTCTTCCAAGTGTGGATCAGCACTAACATGGAGAAATGTCAGATGGACTTGCTCCAAATCCAGTGCCTTACCCTGCTTTCTGTGAAAAACCAGAAACCAGAGCACAGCACAGGAGAAACTGAAATTCCCAGGATGATGGAATATTCTGATCTGCCAAACCCTGGTCCTTGCAGCAATAAATGTACTTGATGCACCTCTCAGAGCTGAGCACAACACAGTGGCAAATGTTGAATTCAGTGGATTCTCAGTGCAGTGCTTATATAAAACATCACTGTCGACTTTTGACGTGATTCACTTAAAATATCTCTTCAGAACTTTGGCTGCTGCTGCTTCGAGAAGTCTCTTGGTTGATGTTAACAAGGGAGACTCTGAAAAATTGCTTTTTTCTTACCAAATGACAGACATGTAATCAGGGATGATAGTCTCTCTCTCTCTCCCCGAACAACATGTTGCAAAATCAAGAAAGCTCTAATTGCAAGCAAGAAGTCTGTATTATATAAATTAACACTAAAATTTTCATTAGTCAACAATTTTAATTGCATTTATTAAGAGTGATGGTATTAATAAGAGATGCTGCTATTTAAAAGCCAGTGGAGTGAAAGCTATCTCAATCTGTGCATATGAATTGCTTTTCAATACCTCTGCTGGGAATTTTTCCAGGAAACTTAGTCCAACACTGACACATCACTGTTTCCAAGCAGGAATGGCACGTCGGGGCAGCAGATGGGAACCCACATCAACCTGTGCAGTGTGGCTATTTTTGTCCACATAATGAGCAGCACATTTGTCACTTAGAGTTGTCATGGAAATCGAGAGAGACAAAAAACGTGGGACAAAATGAAATATGATCCAAAGGGCTGGAGGACTCCAAGTCCTGCCTTTGCAACCCACTCCATGATCATCTCTGATGGCTGGAAGAAGGAGGGGCTTGAGTTTCTACCTCAACATGACACTTTGCCAGCAAAACAGGGCTCCTCACACCCCCAGGGCAATGAGTATTGTTTTCTCAGAGAAAATGGGTTTTCATTCACTGAATCACAGACAAGTTGCTTTGTCACTTCGGGTTTCTTTGACAGTTTCTCTCTGTCAGAAGCAGTTAATGTGGAGCTGGGGTGGCAGCAGCTCTGTGGGTTCACACCTTCACACATGCAAAGTTCTCTCCTTCCCCCACAGCTGGAGGGAACACGACATTGGCTTCGGGACAGGAATCCTGGTTCCCATCACAGAGCAACACAGGAGGGTCCCTGACACACAGCCCTGAGTCAGGGAAGGACACAGGGAACAGGGATCTTTGGAAAGACGCCTGGGGGGACAGGGAGGAGATGAAACCCTCAGAACCCAGGGCATGGGCGGAGTCTTTTGAGAAAAGAACAACTCCAAGTTATTGCCTTAAAGCACAACAAACTTTTGTAAATCTATTTTTGTAAATCTATTGGAAAAAACCACTTGCTCTTATCAGTGATGTGAGCTGTTCTAAGGACACCATCTGATCAAACTGGTCTCAAGTTTAGGTGTTGCTTCATAAGTTCCTAAAAAATCCAAATAAATAAATACGTTATTTCCATATTTTTTCCCTTTGGCTCTAAAGGAATTTATTCTTAATTAAAAAAAAAAAAAAAAAAAAGAAAGAAAGAAAAAAAGATTGCCTTGTATTTTACAATATATCCTCTGGGGCAAGGCAGGACAAAATCACCTCATTGCTGTGCTCTGAACTGGCACAAAGAGCATGGAAAATAATCCAGAGTGAGCAAAGCCAGTGCTGCCACAACACTCTTAACACCAGCTTACTTCCCCAGCAACCATAAGACTGGTTTTTAAAAGACATAATGAAATCAAAATAAAGGAATGTGAGGGGGTTTGTAAAAGCCATCCTTAATTTTGAGGCCTCAGGCTATACCTGGTCTGTATTTTCAGTCTTGGTCCCTTGT